AATACAAATTCATGGATGTAAGAACTCTGCCAACATTAGGAGAATATCTTCCAGTTTCTATCTACCTCATACCTTTGCTCAGAATTGCATAAAATTAATACAGTCCACCTCGGTATCTGCAAGGGATTGGTTCCAGGACCCCAGTGGTTACCAAAATCCATGGATGCTCACGCCCCTTATATAAAATGGCGCAGAACCACTGGATACAGTTGGCCTTTCACATCTCCAGATCATAAACAGCGTTTGCTGTTGGTTGAGTCTGCAGATGCAAAATCAGCTGATAAGGAGGGCCTACTCCATTTAGTGGAAAAATCTGCATATAAGTGCATGAAGTTCAAACCCATGTTGTTCAAGGGTCAACTGCATGTTGTACAAAACTGTCAACTGCCTCAAATAAGAACATTATTGATAAATCTATTCCTGGGAAGAGAAAACATACAACATTTAGCTGTGGATAGAAGCAGATAGAAGGGAGGTTTTAGAAAAAGGGATTAAGAGAAGAAACAGATTATGAAACATAGCAGACAAAACAAGGCAAGTTAACAGAAACATAGTTAAGCCTAGGTTGAAATGCAGGATTAGAGGTGCTACTGACAAATAGTGAAGGGTGAAAGCGCCTGACTGTGCTGCCACAGGACAGGGATATAGAATCAGCTTTCTGCAGCTTTCTTTTCAACCTAGACATTTTGAAGGTGGCTTTGCTGCTATCAAATGCTAAAATGCTACATAGAAAACAAGTGAAAATGCCTGAGTCTAATAAGTCAACTTTCAAGATATCTAAACCTCTCAGCACATATGCGGTGCCTTTGTTACCAGAAGGCCCTGAGCAAGTGAACACTGGGAAAAGCAGCAGTTTTAGGTAGTGAATGTGAAAAGCTCTGCCTAAGAGATGGTTAAAATAGGTTCTGGAAGGACCAATAATGGATAGCCCTATAACAAGTTAAGTTACTAGATTCTCAATTTGGGGTTCTTTAAAGCAAGAGACAGAGATATTATAAAGAACTGTTAATGGAGGAGAATTTAGGGAAAGGCAATATAATGAACCAAACATTTGGTAGAAAATAGATTACTTTCATTGCTTTTCTAGAACAGCAGGAGAACAGTCTTAACAGATCAGTCATCATTACTAAATTCCAGGACAGGATGCCTCATACCCTATTAGCAAGGCATTCTTTTCTGCTAATAATAAAAAGATACTCCTATTTCCTATTGAACTACTTCAGTCATTTCCTGCATTATCTGCCTAATCTATGGGCTCATCCTGATTTGCTTAAAAGGTCTGAGGTTTTACACGTGGAATATTTGCTACTCTGGCTAACCAAGTGCTTTGATGTGTACTGAAAATTTTCCTTCTCCATTTAATGTTTTCATTTTCTTCGGGGTTTTTTTTTGTTTTTTTTTTTTTACTTAACATTGGTTTTCTAAATTCTTAAGCTAACAGAGTCGAAATTTCAACTTAAGAGGTAAAATTTTCACACAGCTATTTAAAAATTCATAATCTACAATAAAACTAACTCACCAACTGGATGAGCGATGGTGTCCTGTAGGCTGGGAATTACCATGGAGTAGGTAGGTGAGCGATAAGGATAAATGGTTGTAGGATTTGTAGAGATGATATTCTGTGTGGTACCAGAAAATACACTGGAAACACTTAGAGGGAAGCGTTTTCGCTTCCCTGGCCGAGGCTGATAAACCCAACCTATAGAAGAAGATGCACCATTTTAATTTGAATATATAGACCCTATATAGTTCTTTTCATAGTGAAAGTCCAAAACACATCTAGGTTTTTTAAAAAGTTATTGTCTAAAGTATCTTTTCCAGTTCTATGAACTCTTTCTGTGCATTTTAGCATATATATCCATATAGCTAACTAGCAACCAATGTTGTAACCCATAGTTCAAAGGAAGAGCAAGGTCAAATGTCTTATATCCAAAGACACATATTGAATCTGTAGTTAAAGGCATCAAAGGCATTAAATTTGAATCCTAAAGCTTTTCCTCTACCTATAAAACAAAGCCCCAGTGAGATTGTATTCATCTCCTGTTTCCTCACTTTCTGTAAGATACAACTGTCTATATCTTACACTGAAATGGTCACTAATGACCAATCATTATTTTTATATTTAGTTTGGGAAGAGTCACTCTCCTAGACTTGACAGTCTTCAAATCCACAAACAACCCAGTTTTCTTCCAAAGTCAGAAGAGTGGAGTTATGGCAGTTGTAACCACTGTATAACTAGGAGAATCACTGGTTCCCTATAATCATTGCCTCTGACCATTCCCCCCTTAGAGCCTCTCTGCTCATATTTTAGAAAAAGGAATTCTTTTCCTACTATGACCAGTAACATTGGCCATACACTGTGCATTTACCCAAGCTTAATCTTAATGTCTTTACTGCTGGGGAAGAAATCAGAATTATTTTCAAACCACATCATGGTAAGGATAAATGTATCAATGAGAAGGCAGAACTTTGTTCTGATAAGCATATAATATTGAAATGGAGAATGGTGTTAACCCCTGCATTCTCATTGTCTTTAAGTGTGCACTGCATATTTTTTCTATTGCTATGATTTTAACACTTCATTTCCTAGTATATTTGCAATATTATAGCATAGAACTCTGGAGTTTTACCTTCATTAAGCTTATATCTATCTATTTAACCCAAATCACAGTAAAGCTATATGTCCCCTGGTTTGCATTAGTGCAAATATGAGACCAGATATCCCTCTACTTGGTTCTCTTTAAGGAAACTTATGCCCAGTAGCAATTCAATCATTAGTATAATATTAGTCATTATTCTCTTTATTGTACATATCAGATAAGAATTACACATTTTTGTCTTTCAATCTCAACCTAACCTACTGTTTACCTAAATAAATTTATTTAAAAGAAATTAGAAGCTTTGTTCATTTCATTTCATTACCAGGAAACTCCTCTCTGTGCTTTTCTTTAATCTTTTGTGCTTCATCATAATAAGGTTTCTTTTGTTCTTCACTAAGTTTGTTCCATTCTAACCCGAGCTGGACACTGATTTCTGCATTGTTGGCTGCTGGGTTCGCTTTGGCTAGTGCTGGCCGGTGGATCCTTGCCCAAACCATAAATGCATTCATGGGTCGCTTCACATGACCATTTCTGTCCTTACTGAAGGGAGTATCTGGTATTCCTACATGACAAAAATTAAGAGACTAATTAATATCACACACACACACACAATTTTAAAGTGAAGCACACCTCCATCTATATCTATTTTTTTAAATATCTGGAGAAAACATACACTTCAATATAGCCAAAGAACCACCACTATTCCAGAATTCCTCATAACCCCTCAACTCAGCATTCTAAGTTATAGCTTAGAATGACTCCTCTTTTCCTCAGAATAATAATATTGTTGAAGATATTGTGGAAGAAATAATGTTGAAGACACACAGTAAACTGCTGGCTTATTACTTCTTTGAGCTTTATTAATACCTCTTACAATAACTAACATGTAATTTATTTCCCACTAAAAATATTTTACTAATGGGGGATAGGAACTAAGACTTGTTCATGACTATAGTCCTCGCACTAACTAGGTAGGCATTCCTAAATGTTTAAAGGAAGTGATTTACATGCTGCTGCAGTGCCCATTCAAGCAAAACTATTATTATATTATAATACTATATTAGTTGTATTTCATTATGAAGGCGAAGCTCCTGCCAAGCAGGTCATCAACACTAGTCCCATGTCCTGGGAAAAAAATAAGAGAAAAATAATAAAAGTAACTTTTTGAGTCACAGATCCAGCTGAAATTATAATAAAGGAAGCTGGCTAAATTCACATATCTGACATAATTAATCAAAAACAACTGTCTATAAACCTCTTATATTGTTTCTCTTTATTTTAGGGTTACTTGATATATAATAAAACTTTAAAAAACACACAAAGGATGAAATAAATATTATAAAGAAAGCTTTGGGCTGGCTAAGTGGTGGGTTGGTTAAGAGTTGACTTGGGACACCAGCTCTGAGCAGCAGGGCCCTGGTTCGGATCCCACATGAGGGCCAGAGATGCTGTGCCCTGTACAGCTAAGATGGTGAACAACAGCTCCACCTGGAGCTGGGCTGCGGTGAGTCGCTGGTGACGGCATAGGCTGCAGTGAGCTTTTGTGAGCTGCCGTGAGCCGCTGTGAGTGGCTGTCCAATGGCCTGTGAGCGACTGCCTCACCCGGGAAAAGTGCAATGATAATACCAACTTGGGCCAGTGAAGCATCAACCCACAACTAGACTGAAGAACAAAAGGACAGCAACTTGTCTGTTCCCCTCCCCAACTCCGCAATAAAATCTTTAAAAAAAAAAGTTTTCCCTTCCCCTCCTTTAGAAAATATAAACGAAGTTTAAGAACTGCTTAAGATAAAAGCAAGAGGGTGGGGTGAGGAGAAAGAATCAGTAAACAATAAACATAAAAGTGAATGAAAATATGAAGATTAATATGACTTTTCATGCCATTCATTGGCATAATGTTTTGTCTAAATTAAATCTTAAAATAATTTTCTAACTATATATTTGGAAATAATGGATAGAAATATCTATAGTTGTCATTTCTTTGAAAAAAAGTTTCTGGTTTATTCTACAGTATTTAAATTTTTTATATTTCTTAGTCCTTAGCTTGTAGAATACTAAAATGTTACATTTAATCATCTAGTATTTTCTCCTAGAAAAATGTTTACTATTCATTTTTAAAGTAGAAAACAACACCTCTAAATTCAGTAAAATGTTCCTGTTTAATTATAACCTTTTTTTCACTAAACACCATTTTTCTTCTACTTCTTGATACACATGAAAACATTGAGCTAGTATAATACAATATTTTAGTGTATGTGCTGCCGAAGCGAGCACGTATAATACAATATTTTAAAACGTTGATTATCTGTAGCATATAAACTGAGGGCTTTGTGTTATCTAGCAAGAATATTTCTATTTTTGTGTATAAGTATCAGTCACATCTAAATCTCAACTTCACGGGGTCTTAAAATAGATTTTTTTTTTAATGTTTGGGAATCTTTAACGTGTTAGTATATTTTACTGGTATAGGTACAAGTCAATCAGAAGTGATACCTGTGCAGACTCTGCCCTGAAAAGAATCAGTTCCATGATTTTACTTTTCTAGCTTACACTTCTGAACTGCTGACATGTTAGCTATGGGGTAACATGGACGAAATTTGAAAACCAGATTCCCCTGCTGTCTAATACCTGCGTCTGAGGGAAGCACGGTGAGCGGGACATCTTTGGTTTCTATTTTTACAGAAGGCTCCAGTAAGGATTGCATTTTAATAGGCACTGGTGTCAAGGGGACCTTGGTCAATCGGATCAGCTCCGAAGGTGGCGGTCCCTGAAACTGGATCCGAGCCCCAGGGGGGACGGTATGGAGAGTCAAAGGGACCCTGAGGTCTTGTTGGTGCGGCCCAAAGGCGCTGGATGGCTGGGCCAGGATGACCTCCTTGCGGCCGTGGCCCAGTCCATTAGATGCGGGCTCCGCGCCAAGCCTGCAGTCCTCGTAGATTCTCTCCGGCTCCTCGATTTTGATGATTCCTTCTCTGACGGCAGTCAAGCTTTTGCCTTCCCCGCCTTTCACCGCATCCCTCATGACCTCCTCCGCCTCCAATTTGTCCTTCTTCTCATCCCATCCGCAACTGTCAAGGGCCGGAACAGGGCCTTCCAACTCGGCTGCCCTGGAGGCCCTATGGCCTGCCTCGATGGCCCTCCCAGGCCCCACCGAAGGATCTAAGTCGGGCCCAGGCTCCTGCTTCTCGGCCTTGACGTGCAGCACCCGGGGCTGCATCGGGTGTAACTCCGGCCCGCAGGGGACGCCCTCCGACGTGGGTGTCAGCGGTGGCAGCAGCAGCAGTTCAGGTCTCAGCTGTAGCAGTCGCGTCGGCGAGGCGGTGGCGCCTTCATCCCAGGCCTGGGGCAGTGGTGGCCCTGGCGACAGTAGCAACACCTGCTCTGGCTTCACCTGTAGCAGCCGCCGTGCCGAGGGCATTACGCTCGACGCCGGAGCCTCCCCGCATGACGAGGCCACGGTCGCAATGGCAGCTGCGCATGAAGCGGGCGGCGACGAAGGGGGCTCGACGGCCACTGCCCGAAAGGGGGTGCCCTCCACTGGCAGCAAGGGCGGAGCTGGGCGCAGTGGGCGCGGCGGGGTCGTTCGCAGCAGCTGGCAGGACTGAGGCGGTGGCTCTGGCCTGGAGCTCTCCATGGGGGGGAGGGGGACACCCCGGCTTGCTCCTGACCGGGATTGTGAGCTCAGCCGTTTGTTGGTGACTTTCTCCCTCCCCCTTTCGGTTAAGACCCTTCCAAGGCCTTTGCTACCCAGAACCCTGCGCGGTTCAAACAACAGCCCTCCGTCGTGGCCTCGCCCAATCACAAGCGTCCTAGTATCCCCGGCATGCCAATCGCAGGCGCGTTCTCCGTGTCCTCCCACCCTCTTCTCTTGCCGCGTGCAAAGCCCTCGAATCACCGGCGATGGCCAGGGCTGTGGCGCGTGTTGCCCATTTTCCCCAACAGTGACTCTCCCTCTCTTCCGGAATTCTCTTCCGGCCGTTGTCCCTGGTTACCCCTCCCCCGCCCAGAGCGCCGGACAATGGCGTTGCCCAGGAAACTGTGCGGTTCCATGCCACTGTCCTCCAAGTGATAAAGGCACGTGAGTCCCCCGCGCAGGCTGAGTCATCCAGCCTTGTATGTGCGGTTTGTTTGCGCCGATAGCAAACAGGATAGGCCATGAGCGTCACTGGAAAAGGGAGAAATTCTGCAACTTCTCAATAATCCCATTACTTGATTCCCTCGCTGGAAAGGGAATCTGACTTAGTATGATTAGTGTGCTAGTTAAGCTTTACGTTAATCACTAGCCCTGTGGTGGGCCCTACTTGTAAAAGACATCTAAAATGCATCCACTTTTCCTTTCTTCTGCCATTGCTTTGTTCCAGCTTCCATCATCTTTTGCCTGGGTACTGCTGTAGCCCTGTACGTAGACTCCCTGCTTTTCACTTTTGTCCCCGGTACTCCAGCTGCCGGGGAACTCCCAAAAATACAAATCTAGTCCTGTCAACACTTCACTGTCCTAAATCTTGGCTCCCCATTGGCCACCTGATAAAGGCCTAAAGTGCTTGTTAAAGCCTATAAAGCTCCGAATAGCTTGGATTCTAGTACTGCTACTGTTCATTCTAGCCCTGGCCCTGTGGGGTCAAGCCACACTAGCTCCTCATCATTCTTCTACCTCAGAGGCCTTTGGATAGGCCCCCAGTGCTAGTCCTCCCTGTGTCTCCTTAACTCCTTCAGCTCATTTTTCAAAATTGCAGCTCAACTAGCACTTCCTCAGAGTATTGTCTTACTGAAAATCAGGTCAAATCTCCTTTATGTGGCCATACCCCCATCACTTCTTTTAAAGCTCTTACCACAATTGAGAATTTATATACATATATAATGTCACTATTCTACTGCCTCCCTCACTTGACTGTAAACTGTTTGAGGGCCGACTGTTTGTGTTTTGCTCACCATTGAATCCCCAGTGCTGACCATATAGACATTCAACAAATACTTGTCAAATGAATAAGGACTGCCACAGTCTAATAATAAAATAGAATAATCACTACCTATACTAAGGGCTTACTGTTATGCTAGGCTCTGCTCCAAGTACTTTCCATGCCCATGCCTCTTCTTTTACAAGGACTGTGTGTATTTCCAGTAAATATCACCAAGGAAAAGAAATCTTGTAACATTTGCTACATTTCTAAATGATGTCCTAACTAAAGTTATAGATTTATCTTGATGCAGATGTTTTTTTAACTAAGACAAGTTATCCCTCAGAGAAGACCTGCCCCAATTCTCTTTCTAATCCCTGTTGTCAGATGTGGCAAACAGTTCTTACATCGGGCAAATATACAAGGGCAGTGGTTCTCAAACTTTCCTATCTCAGGAACCTTTTATGCCCACAAAAATGATTGAAGATTACAAAGAGCTTTTATTTATGTGGCTTTATCTATTAATATTTCCCATTATATAAATAAAAACTGTGACTTTAAAAAATATTTTGTTATCAATTCATTTAAAATACCACTACTAAATCCATTACGTGTTAACATAACACATTTTCATGATAAAACAGTATTTCCCCCAAAATTAGAAGGGTGGCATTGTGAACCAATGTCTGGCTTAATTAAAAAAAAAAAAAAAAACAGTTGTATTCCCATGTTTTCTTCTGCATTTAATCTGTTGTTGAATTGATGTGCCATAGAGACTCTAGACAGCTTCACTGTACAGTCATGAGAGAATGAAGTGAAAAAGGCAAATATTGTCTTAGAATTATTCTGCAAATTATATTAACCTAGCAGATTCTCTGAGTCAGTCCCTGAACCACACTTTGAGAACTGCTGAACTAGGGTTTAATGGAAAGAACCAAGTACAGACATAAACAAAGGCTGATGAAAGGCAGAAAAATAAATCAAGTTGGTATTGATTTTGTGGAAGACTATTTTATATCCCAATCTGAATTAGTAATTTTAAAAAAGTGACATGACAATCCTCTGTGACAGCAATGTAAACAGTATACAGGGAGTGTGTTTTCAGCAGAAAAGCAATCTTTTTTTTTTTTTTTTAGATTTTTTTTTAATTGGGGAATTGGGGGGATGGGAACAGTGCTGGGGAATTGGGGGAAGGGGAACAGACAAGTTGCTGTCGTTTTGTTCTTCAATCTAGTTGTGGAGGATGTTGCTTCACTGGCCCAAGTTGGCACCATCATTGCGCTCTTCCCGGGCGAGGCAGATCAGTTGCCGGCTTCTGGACGGCCGCTCACCACGCTGGCTGCTGGCTGCTGGCTACATACGGTAGCCCATGGCAACCCACTGCCGCAGGGGCTGCAGCCTATGCCGTCGCCGGCGACTCATGGCAGCCCAGCTCCAGGTTGAGCTGTTCAGCATCTTAGCTGTGGAGGGCAGTGTCACTGGCCCTCATATGTGGGATCCGAACCAGGGCCCTCTGGCGTCCCAAGCCAGTGCTTAACCATCGCGCCACTCGGCCGGCCCAAAGCAATCTTTTTTTAAAAAACCAAGAACAACTTTATTGAGGTTTGATTTATATATCATAAGTATACAATTAAATGTGAAATTCAGTGAGTTTTAATAAATTTATAAAGTTGTATAACCATCACTCAATCCAGTTTCAGAACATTTTCTTGTAATTGGCAATGTTTTGGAATTTCCAATGAACAGTTCTGCACTTCTTTTGTTAATTTGTTTCTGAATATTTTTTGATGCTGTTGTGAGTGTAATTGTTTTCTTAACGTCATCTCTTGTTGGTTGTATATTGATTTTATATTCATATTTTCTTGCCTTATTGCGCTGTATAGAAGCTCCAGTTCAGTGTTGAATAGAAGTGGTGAGAGTGGACATCCTTGCTTTGTACCCAGTGTTAGGGGAAAAGCATTGTCTTTCATCTTTAAGCTTGATATTAGGTGTAGGTTTTATGTAGCTGCCTTTTATCAAATTAAAGATGTTTTCTTCTATTCCTTCTTTGTGGAGAGCTTGATCCTGAATGTTTGTTGGATTTTATAAAATGCTTTTTCTACATCTTTGAGATGATCATATGGCTTTCTCCTTTATTACAGGGGTCAGCAACATTATCCAGAAAGGGCCATATAGTAAATATTTTTTGGTTTTGTGAGCTATATGATTCCTGTTGCAACTAATCAACTCTATTGTAGTATGAAAGCAATTATAGACAATATGTAAATGAATGGGCATGATTGTGTTTCAATAACACTTTATTTACAAAAACAAAAGTCATTCTAAATTTGGCCTATAGGCTCTAGTTTGCTGACCCCTGCTTTGTTCTATTAATATGTGCATTACATTAATAAATATTCAGATGTTAAACTAACCAGCATTCCTGGATAAACTCCACTTAGTCATAATGCATAATCCTTTCTATAAATTACTGGATCCAATTGCTAGTTTTAAAAAGAATTTTAGCATTTATTGGTCTGTAGTTTCTTGTGATATCTTTGTTTGCAGCTTTGTTTGGTATCAGGGTAAAATGAGCTAGAAAATGTTCCCTTCTCTTCTATTTTTGCAAGGGCTTGTGTTTGATTGGTATTATTATTCCTTAAATGTTGATAGGATTTACCAGTAAAGAAAGTCATCTGGGTGTGGACTTTCCTTTGTAGCAAGATTTTTAAATATCTCAATTAACTAAATTAATTTCTTTATTTGATAAAGTTCTATTCAAACTTTATATTTCTCCTTTAGTCAAGTTGATCATTTCTGTCAATGAATTTGCCCGTTTTAACAAAGTTGTAAATGTTGACACAAGGTTCTTCATAATATTCCTTAATAATTCTTTTATTATAGTTTCTGTGGTTCAAAATGTTTCCTCTTCTCATTCCTAATTTTGGTAATTTGTATCTTTTCTCTTTCTTTTCTTCGTTATCTTACTAAAATTTTATCAATTCCATAGATCTTTTCAAGGAACCAACTATCAGTTTCCCTGATTTTCTCAATTGTTTTGCTGGTATTTAAAAATTGATTTCTCGGGGTGACCAGTTAGCTGTTGGTTAGAGCATGGTGCCGATAACACCAAGGTTGCCAGTTTGATCCCGTATGGGCCACTGTGAGCTGCGCCCTCCCTAAAAAAGTCAACATTAAAAAAAACCCAAAAACTATCCTCATTTAAGAAATAAAATAAAATAAAAATTGATTTCTGCTGTGGTCTTTGGACCTGGATTAGGAAATAATTCTTCCCAAGCAAATCATTCAAAAATTACTAGATTTCCTTTTACCTTTAATTTCCATTGCTTAGGAATGAATAACTGTATAAGCTAAATAGAAAGTCAATTTATATTCCAGATTTCACTTTTATATGGGCCTGAAGATTTCAAATTCTTTTCAATAAACCAGCCCAGACACTGGAAAAATTAAATTGAAATATATATGCCTATATCAATTTTGCTACCAATTTATGGTCCATTCAGGGCCAAATTATTATGGGGCACTCAATATGCAGCCCTATAAATAACTCATAGTTATGTTGTGGAATTTGTACTTTATTGACTGTAACTCTGTCTCTGTATCGATAATAATATCTATATTAATCTAAGATAGCTTAATGCCTTGCTTTTTCTAAAAAGGATTAAACTTTGTGATTTAGGACCTCAAAAACATTTCATGGATACCAAATTCTTTCTTTTTCTTCATCTATCTCTTCCTTTTAATTAGTACTGCATATCTAAAATATTGAAGTAGATTCTCAGTTGGCTAGCTGCCTCTGGGTTTTCTTCACTCTCATTTATCCCTTCACACCATAGTCAGATTAATTTTCCTAAAACACCATTACCTACACCAAGGCCAAAGTCCTTACCTTGTACTTAATATCTTCAAGTCTTATTTTGTTTTTTACCACTCCCTACTTTTCTATGTCTTTGTGGGTCTTCACATGTCCCTCAATCTACTTTGCTTGTATTACTCACATTCCCAAATTTATGCAAAATGTCATCCTATTTTTTTTCAAGTTCATCTTATCTATGTGAATTGCTTTTTGATCCAACTTAAACCTGATAAACAAGATGTTAAGTGGGATTTTTCCCACTTGTTGTTCTGATATTATACCAAAGGCCCAGGACAGAGAACATAAGATGTGAAGTAGCCCATTTCTAAGTTCAAAGAGCCCTTACTCATTTGGGGCCAGCTACCTCCCTGAGAGACTTGTTGAAAAAAGCCAGAACCATATCTGCTCTATCAGTCACCTTCCTACCCTGAGATACAGAAATAGGACTGGGAGGGAGAGAGTTGCCTGCATTGGGGGAGCACAGTGCTCTAGACCAAAATTTGAATACCAACACTTACATATTTTACTATCCTGGAAGTTATGGGATCTGGCCAAGATTCTTTAAGGGAATTGCTAACCAGCAAGAAAAGAGAACATGAAAAAGCAGTTACTGGGAAAAATGAAGTCATTACTTATTTTTATCCCAAAGAATTAAGACTTCTAAAAACCCAATTTTATTTACAAAAAAGTAAGTTATTGGCATAACCTCTCAACAAGTATTTATTGGTTGCTTCCCATGTGCCAGGTATTGTTCTAGGCATGGGGGGATATAGCTTTGAAAAATATTAACCAAGGTCCCTGCCCTCCTGCAAATTGTAAGAGTCTAGGAATAGCGCTGACTCCAGGCATGATGCTCAGTGTCATCAGATATATTTTTCTCCATCGCTCAGATTTTCCCTTTGTATAGGCCTAATTCATAGGGACATGCTCTTCCTTCTTGAAGGCAATATGGTCACCAGTGTAGTGATTCTAATAGGAAGAGAGTCTGTTTTTCCCAGTCATTCTAGCAGAGTGCCAGACTGTCTCGTTGACCTGGCTTTCATCTGGTGCACATCTCTGAACTTGACTGGCCAAGTCTTGGTTATTGGTGAGGCCACCACAAATATTTGTGCAGGTGTTCACTGCAAAGAAGACAAGCAGGGGCTGAAATCTAGTGCAGAGCATACTTACCAGTCCTTTGCCTGGTGCACGACTATGTCGGCCAGAGAGTGGGCCTTTTTGTAATTTTCACTAAGACACGACAGTGGTCCTGGTAATGTGCTCACCTCAGAGCAAAGGTGAGATGGGGTTATCCCCACATGAACCACATGGTCTGAGGTTGAGGACAGGACCATTGGGGTGTCATTGTCAGAAGACAGAAAAGGGATGGCAAAAACCACAACTTCAAAACCATGACAGAACAAGGCCGCCTGTTCCTGGAAACATATACAGTGCATTACTTCCAGCCAGAAATTTGATTAGAGTGGTTTAGAGCAGGGAAGGAGACTTTAGAGATAAATTATTCCTTCTTCTTACCCCATCCACCCTGAATTTCATTTACATAATGCAGTTCTTAGCACAAATGAAATGAGTCAGCATTGGGGAAGACAAACTGAAATATGACTTCCATAATAAAGGAAATTTTTTCTTTTTGTCAGCCTCAGTAAGTGATCTTTTAAGTAATAGAAATTTTTTAAAAATAGAGATCAGTGTTCAGTTAGGTCATAAATATCTGTTGTGTACAGGATTTTAAAAAACTTTTTAAATTGTGGTAAAATACATATAACATAAAATGTACCATCTTAACCATTTTAAGCATACAGTTCAGTAGTATAAAGTACATTCATATTGTTGTGCAACCAATCTCCAGAACTCTTCATGTTACAAAATTGAAATTCTATATCCATTAAATACCAACTCCCCTTCCCCCCTCCCCTTATCCCCTAATAAACATCATTCCACTTACTTTCTCTATGAATTTGACTACTCTAAGCACCTCATTGGGTTCCAGAATCATACAATATTTGTCTTTTTGTGACAAGCATCATTACCACCCCCTCCCAGTACTGGCCAGACCTGTTACAGAAGGGGCTTGGAATGGGAGGCCCTGAGTCTGCTCTTTCATGCTGCTCCCGCTCCAACACCCTGGTTCTGAGGTCCTCTGGATCTGCGCCTCTTTTCAAGGTTAATTCTTGTCCCATTGAAGTCTGGGCTGGGATGTAGGGGAGGCAGAGGCTTCCTTATATAACTGGCCTTCAGCCTGGTGGTGGGAAGGTTTCTCTCTTCCTGCTTTGACATGGTGTGTCGTTTGTCTTAAGGCCATATTTAGCATCAACCTGGTGGTGGGAAGTTTTTTTTCTTCTTGCTTTGGCATGGCGCATGGCTGTCCTGGGGCCATTGTTAGCATCAGGCCTTTTTAGGATTCCTTGAAGAGGAGCAGCCATAGCTCCCCTTGGCTCTTCCAGCCGTGTCTCCAAACCCTCTCCAGAATGGGTAACTTCACTTGCCCAGTGACCTCATAGGTAATTACCAGCTCCTGCCTTCCCCTCTAACCACTGAGTTCCTTCTTATGGGACTGATGTTGATGATGACTTCTTCCAGGCCTCAAAGGCTAGGGAGAGCTGCAGTGAGATATGTCTATCCTTTCATCAGCACATCACATTGCTGCTCCTTCTCATCTACTGGCCTAGGGTGCTCCAGAAACCTCCAAGGGTAATGGAGTCAGTGGTCTCTACATTCACATACACTCCCAACCTCAAAGGGAGCAGGAGAGATGACACCTATCAGGATCTTCCAGTGACTCTCCTGGTGCTCTCCTATAGTGGCAGCTCCAGGAAAACTCAGCAGGTCCCCAGCTGGAATGTGAGGAAGCTATCCTCCCTTCTCATCTGCCCTTGAAGACGACCCACACCTGCCACTACTTGTCCTGGGAGTGGGGTGGGGGCTCGAGGCAGGTGGTGGAAGGGGAAAGTATGGAGAGCAAAGTAACATCCTATTGCTTTGACATATGTCTATATCTTCTCTCTTCTCTCTTCTCTCTCTCTTCTCTCTCTCTTCTCTCTCTCTCTCTCTCTCTCGATGCTGGATGGATGGATAGACAAGAAACTGGTAAAAGTAATTGCCTAAGATAGGAAGTTAGGAATTAGCAAGAGACTCACTTTTTATAATATAGTCTTTTATATTGCTTGAATAATTTTCTTAATAAAAAGTTAATGAACTCAAAAAGCTTTATAAAGCATAATGCAAATAATAGGGTTTTATTTTTACTATTATCTACCGGCAACAAAAAATAAAACATTGGGTCTTTGATTATTTAATTGGGAAAAAGTTGAATGAGTTAATTTAGCATGTCCATATGTTGCAATGAGTTCATTTTTCTTTTTAAATCACTCTTTGGAATATTTAATAACATTTGAAAATACTCAAGGTGACGAAAAAAATGTTAAAAATTCTATAGGTATATGATTCTAATTTTGTTGTTCCCTGTGTAAACATAAATATACAAAGAGAAAAGAGACTGGAAGGACGGACGCTCCAGTGCTTTGGCATGAGAGGAGAGATATGAAGTACTTTGTATTTTTCGGTATATTCTACATTTTCTACAACAAAGTAACAAATGCTATTTACAAAAAAAAAAATCACAAAACTTCAAAGTTAGAAGAAAATGTTTTAAAACTTTGTTAGAATGATTTATTATAGGACAGGGGGAAAGCTAGCAATCGTAGGTAGAGCAGAAGGAACTACGAAACTCTTAGCAGGCCCGGAAGTGGATTGAGGACTACAAGGAGAGGCGAGAAAGATGCCGACCTCCACGTTGGCTAGAGCGGCCATGAAGAGACATAGGAACTTCCGGGGCGGAACTCTCTGGTCCTTTCCCTTCCGCGGAGACGGCGGGGGGGCGGGAATGTGGGCCGCTAGCAACATCAAAATTCGCGATTGCTTGGCCTCTACTTCCGTCACTCTCAAACGGTGCCTAAAATTGGGGGCAACCATGGCAAAAAGCAAGTTCGAGTACGTGCGGGACTTCGAGGCTGACGACACCTGCCTGGCTCACTGCTGGGTGGTTGTGCGGCTGGACGGCAGGAATTTCCATAGGTACGTGAGCTAGGCTTTGGGCCGCGTGGTGCGCCAGCGCTTCCGGGGAACATAACGCCTTGCGTCGCAGGCCCCGGCTCATGGTCACCGGGGTAACGCGACAGCCAATGAGCACGCGACATTGAGCATCATGCAATGTGCTGGTTACGGAGTGCTTGAAAGTAAGCACGTTAGGGTAGTTAAACAGGGCAGGGTGCTCCCCTGGTGAAAAGATGGCGTCAGATACCCGCGAGCAAGGACCTGGTGGAAAAAGCCCCTCGCGTGCACAGTACTTATCTCTTCAGACAATTGCCCAGCTATTTTGTTAGGTATTTTTGAGTGCTGACTGTTCAGAGGCCTGTTTAGGCCTTGCTATGGGCAACACTTTACAGTGTGTTCTTATTTCATTGTCAGTAACAGGCCACGTGTACTGTATTCAGGAGGGCAAAAACAAGTGTATCAGAAAAATAGGAATTTAATTTTTTAGAAGTGCTACTTTTTAATAATTATTGTAACTAACATTTATTGAGCACTTCTAAGAAGCCAGGCATAATTACATTTGTTATCTTCCCCTAATCTTCAGGGCAATTCAAAGTAAATACTCTATATTCCCATTTCGCAGAAAAAGGAATTGAGGCTTAGCAGTTATGTCCCCTTTCTCAGTTGTCCGGGCAAGAAAAACCTGCATCTTAAGGAAATGGATTGGGTCGTGAGTAGTGCAATATTTGGACTCATAGCACTATTGCACTATCTTCCTCTTTGATCTGTGGTGTTAATGACATGCTCTCTTCCAGTCATGCCGTTTTCCCTCTTCTCTTTCTCTTATGAAGGTTTTCTGAGAAGCACAACTTTGTAAAACCTAATGATAGCCGTGCTCTCCACCTAATGACCAAATGTGCTCAGACTGTAATGGAAGAACTAGAGGATATTGTGATTGCATATGGACAGAGTGACGAGTACAGCTTTGTGTTCAAGCGGAAAAGCAACTGGTTTAAAAGAAGAGCCAGGTAATTCCATGGCCTAGCTCCTTCGGAATATTTGCTACCAGCATCTGGTTTCTGTTTATCTTAAACGCAGATTTGCAGACCACAGATGGTGTCTGCAATATTTGCAGCTGCAGAATGTATTTGTATTCCTGTTTGGACTGTTACATACTTCCATCTGATACCTGAGCATTCCGTATCCCTTTTTATCTGATTCTTTCCCCCTGCATTCCCTGTCACCTTAGCGTCTAGACTGATTTTGACATTGAACATTAAGACTAGAAAAATAAATCATGGTATATAATATTAATGATTCATAGATTGGCTTTAGCCAGTGACAATCTCTACAGTCATCACAGTATTGCTTAAACCCTTTAATTAAGGAGGATTTCAGTACAAAAGAGACAAATCTAATATTTGAGTATTTTGAAATTCACAGGAAACAAATCACATAATAAATTGGCATGTTTTTAAAACAATGGTTCCCCTCTTTCCAAGACTTTAAAAAAAACAAAAAACCTCTTGAACCATAAATTCACAGTACATTCTACAGAGAAAAATTTGGTACTTGTAAATTACTTATAGAACTAGAAGGAGAGGAAGGCTGCGTTTCAAATATGTAACTTAATATTGAAGTAATTTTTCTTGGCCCAGCACATTTTATCTCTTGGCTTGCTGGGCAGTTTGTGTAAGCTCTCTGTTGCACCCACAGGCCCTATCATGGCGTTGAATTAATTTCATGTGTTTTCTCTTTTATTGCTCCACCCAATGTGCCTTACACTTGCTAGTAAGTTCATGACTCACGTGGCCTCCCAGTTCGCCTCCAGCTACGTGTTTTATTGGCAGCATTACTTTGAGGACCAGCCCCTTCTGTATCCCCCAGGCTTTGATGGAAGAGTTGTGGTGTATCCTAACAACCAGACCTTAAAGGACTACCTCAGCTGGCGGCAAGCAGATTGTAAGTGAAAGGAATTAAACCGATGTAATTAAACTACCAACTCTGTACTGTACAGGTGGTGATCTGGTACAGGTTTGGCTCACATATACTTTGTTTGGAATGCAATATTTCAATTTTCTAAAAAATCAGTTGAAAATTAAAAATTGGGAGATTTCATATAAATACGCCCTATTTTCAGCTTTTTTTTTTTTTTTTAAATCAGAAGATCTGGGAGTAGTAGGTCTATATTCCCACTTAATATTGGACAGAACCTGTGAAGTGACTGCTGCCTTTTCCTACACACGCATGTACATACACAGAAGCCAGTGTGCCATGTTCTCTACCATTCCCTGTTGTTCTGCTTGATGCATTTATGTTTGTGCTGGCTTAAGTGGCTGAGTTGTGACCCCTGCCTTATATGACTATAATGAAATGTTTTGCCTTATATGACTATAATGAAATGTTTGTGAGACTTTTTCTCATTTGATGTATCTTGACTTTGCCAGAGGAATTGGAAAAGAGGTAGAAATAATGTAAATCATGTAACTTTGAAAGTATTCCTAAGCTTAATGCACAATTTAACAGTTTTGTGTAAAGCATAACTGAAATGATATAATGAAACTGTTAGGAGACAAGTTTGTTTCTGTTTGTCTACTTCCCCCATGTTTCCTGTGTATGATTTTGGGCAGGTAACTAAATGTCTCTGAGATCTCTTTAAAGAGGAGAGAGGTGGGGCTGTAGTATTCTTTGAAGTGTGAATACTGAGTAAAGATTACGTGTGTATAAACAGTACTACTTTGTTCTCCTTACAGGTCACATCAATAATCTTTATAATACAGTTTTCTGGGCACTTGTACAACAGTCTGGACTAACACCAGTGCAAGCCCAAGCGAGATTACAGGTATAAAAACCTTACCACATTAATACTTAACTGGGGGCAATTTGCTATAGGGTCTCCCATGACATTTTGCATTCTTTAAGCTCTCTTTATAGCTTTGTTTTGAAAGGATATAAAATCATCCTAGTAGCAGCTCTGCTGCTTGCTTGGTTGCTCTGTGACACTGTGTGAGTTAGTACTTCTCCCTGAGCCTCAGTGTTCTCAGCTGGAAAATGGAATTAGTGACATTGGCTTTGCATTCCCATGTGGTAATGCTTGGCTGCAGCTGAGTATTGGCGGCTCTCTTTAGACAGGGCGTGTGTGCTTTTTTTTGGTCGTCCCATCTGTCCCCTTCCCTCATTGCCATTGTCTGCAAATAATTGTACTCAGATCATGCTTCTGTTCAATTTTAACCTCTGCCTTAGTTCTGTATAGATAAAATGTGGAAAGTAATAGTTCCTACCCCATAGGCTTTTGATGAGGATTGAATGGCATGATGCACGTAAAACACATAGGGTAGTACAAAGCACATTGTAAGTACTTAATAAATGCTGGCTTTTAATATCAGGTAACAGTGCTTCTTGTAAGGATGACTAACTTTGAAATGAGATGATGTGTTATAACAGCTCCTAGTACAATGCCTGGTACTTCCCTCAGTAAATGGTTGTCATTATTAATAATGATGATGACGATTTACATATAGCAATAATAGGAATACTGATAGGTCTATCCAGTTTGGAAGAGCCAAGTTTAGATTTTGGTTTTTCTTAGAATAAGAGCAACCTTTAACCTTGAGCAATTTATATAAACTTTCTAAGCTTCAGAGTTCTCATCTGTAAACTGGAAATGGTTTTGAAGGTCAAATAAGAAAATATAAAGTATCTAGTACAAAGTAGGTTCTCTCACTATTAATTCCTGTCACCCCATCACAGTCATGACTTGTGAAGCCATTGTTTGCTACAGAATTTTATGAATTTACACATCTAAATAAGTTTTGAACTATTCTTAAAATGCAGTTCACTAGTATCAAAAGATGTTTGATAAAACACTTCCACTTCTTGATTTGTTTGTGGAAGTTTAGGTTAGAGGGTGGAATGGCGGGGAGAAGACGTACAAAGCTTTTTATATCTGTTTTTATTTCCTCAGGGAACTCTTGCGGCAGACAAGAATGAGATTTTGTTTTCTGAGTTCAACATCAACTACAATAATGAGCCAATGATGTATAGGAAAGGAACTGTGTTGATATGGCAGAAGGTAATGCTGTTGTGTCCCAGGAAAAATGGAGGTCAGGAAGGATGAGCCTGTGCTCATCCCAAGTGTGTCTTGCCTGCCACCTTGAAAGCCGATATGACTGCAGTTGCTAACATGAATTAGATCCTTTCCAAAACAAGATGCCAGAGATTACTATTTTGATGCTTTTTTTGTTGGTCAATGCTCATTGTGTTTGTCAGTGAGCTCTGTAATCTGGAATCTTCCCTGTAAGTAGAATCACAGAATTTTGGAACTAGTGTACTTATTTTTCTGTGTCATGAGCTCTCCCCAAATCAAATAAAACCCTGTTAAAGAGCTACAATGCAGATAAAAGGATTTTTGCATTCACTGAACATTTAAAGAATATTTTCTCCCACACTGGATAATACCATCCAATGGTCCATCCTGTGATAACTGTAATAGGAGGCCCTAAGAGATGTTGATATGAGGGTTCTGACACTTACAGGATGTTTATGACATTCCCCAGACATTCACACTTACCTTAATATTCTGTCATAAGCCTGTACATTTACCTAAATCCTTTTTTCTACCAATGTTTTCTCTCCAGATCAGCCTCTGGGCATCATGATTTCTCTAAATGTATTTCCTCCCACCTAAAGTAATTTTTTCTGAAATGAATATTTTCAAGTCTTAAGGGTAACCTTGAGAGCGAGTCACTCTACTAGCAACTTCAGCTCTTTTATTAGTATTTTTAAAACACATTTGTTCTTTGGCACAGATTGGGTACTTCTTAATGCAGGTGGGAGAGCAAATATACAATTACTTCTACAATTATTGCTTACAAGGAACATGAAATCCCTCCTTTGTTCCTAAACGTCCTTTTAGAATATAGCAACATAACATTTTTAAAGTATTTTTAAATGTAGGTAAAGAAATTCATGTATGTTGAGATATACATGTGTATCTATATCTCTTAATGTGTCAGAAGTATGTAAAATAAAGCAAAACTCCCTCACATTTCCCCCTTTTTTTCCCATACCCACTCCCTAGTTAACAATGTCAATATTTTAACTTACCTGTAGGTGGATGAAGTCACGACAAAAGAAGTTAAGCTGCCAGCAGAAATGGAAGGAAAAAAGATGGCAGTGACCCGAACTAGGACTAAGCCAGTGCCCTTGCACTGTGATATCATCGGGGAGGCTTTCTGGAAGGATCATCCCGAGATCCTAGATGAAGACAGCTGACCCTTTGCTTTTCAATCCTGGCGTGCTTAACCATGCAAGGCCCTCCAATTCTTCTCGCCTTCGGTGGCCCTAGCATCCCTACCACCCAGAACAGTGTCCCAGGAGTGACATGCCTCTGGTTGGGAAGGGAACAGGGAAAGAGGGATGGATGGATGTAGGGTATCTTGTTCTGCTTTAAGTGGAACACTTTTTATGCAGTATTGGAACATGGTGCCTTCGGCAGAAGTGCATTTTTTAAAAAATCATGGTACTATTTTTATAAAGCAAGAGCTATTTCATGCCTTGCAGAATGAATCCTTTTTAGGTTGTGGCGTAAGTCTTATTAATATAAAAACTTACCAAGCCCTTTTTACCTGTGATAGAGGGTGAGCCCAAACTTTATTCTTGCCCACCTGTTCTTAACTAGAGAATCCAATGACCTTGAAAAAAATATCACCTTTCCCACCCATTTACTTGCTTTCATCTTTGGCAGACCTGGAGATTAAATATAGGTTGATGCCTGCCTGATGTCTTTTGGATTCAGGAATTTCAGAGGAAACTCAACTTTGTGTCAGTCTCCAAGTTGGCAACTTTGGATAAACAAATGAATAGTTTGGATGTCCTTGTGTAAACATTCCATAGATTCTGTGGAGTTGTCAGCATGATCATCATCATCTTGCCAAGGTCATTGTTTGCAAGGCCACTTACCTCTTTATAAGAAGAAAGAATTATGTGTACATATGAGAGAAAGAAAACGTGGGAGAAGGAGGGAGAAACAGTCACTCCGTGTCCTCCAGATACTTCAGTTTTAAAAGTCACCTTGTCACCTATTGGACTTCCTGAAAAAGAGTCTCGTGTAGCCTCTGTATAATTAGAACAATCACATTTGATTTGGAGAGCAGGGGGGTCAACACTCCGTTGCAGTCACAGGTGGCAGGTGGCAGAGAAGTCCTAATAATAGCTCCACCTGCAGATGAGCCAGCCGAGATGGGTAAGGAGCAAAGAGCGACAGCATTCATTTTGTGTTGTCAAGCTGTTTGCCTCTGAAAGGGGGCAGTAGTGGGGACAGGCAGTGAGTACTCACATTGCCTCTTGTCCTCGTTTCATATTTTAGAGGAAAAAGATTATTTGGCTCTATTAAGAATTAAGAGACAGCCCACCTCTTGCACGACAGGCCAAGAAGAAAATATTTTTGAAAGGGCAATGGCTGGTCTCATTCTCCAGTTGATACCCCATCTGTTGATGCCATGTTTTCCCTTCGAATAGGAGATGTGACTCATTTTTAGTGTTTGATAAAATATCTGAGGGAAAAAAATAAAGGTTTCAACTCCCTTGGCGTCATTTTTCATTTATCTCACACAAACGCAGTATACAAATCCAACTTTTGTGTGGGTGTGTCTGCATATGAAAGGATACACATACCTTTTGTCACAGCAGTGGTTCAGACTTCTGGACATAAAAATTTACTTGGAATGCTTGTCAAAATTGCTGATAACCATGTTTCCCCTGTAAAGATTTGGGGCTCAGTAATCTGATTTTTTTAACCCCAAAGGCTTCTGATGCCTGTGGGCATTGATATACTACGTTTTGGGCAACAAGGTAAAGTTGGGATATGCCAAGTGAGGCAGTAAGATAATGTAGCTCTTGACTGGCAAATATAAGTGGTAAGTAAATTTCTAACATCTAATGTAGATATGTAGGCGTTTATGTATAAATTTTCAAGACTTGCTTTCTGCAGATGCCATGTAAGATTACAAAGGCTATCAATTTTGTCATAAGATGGGACAATCACTTGTTCTTGAATTGCCAGCTGTTTGCAGCTTTGAGGTTTTTGTTTGGGCAGGGGGTTTTAAGCAAAGGAGTATCCTCTGGCTTCATACTCATGCCATAACAACCTGCAGTGCAATCACTTGGAAGCCCCATGCTTGGATGGTTTGTTGTATGTATTCCAATGTATATTCCACAGTTGTATATTGATTGTCATCTTGCTAAGAGGATAGTATTCTCTTGGGCTTCCTTTCCACAAAAGCAGTTAGAATAAATACTTGGTTTCAGGGACTGGTTGCAGTTAAAGTGATTTGTGTGACCTGTAAGTGACCGAAACATCTTAACCTCTGCTGGATGAGGGAGTAATACCTGGGCTTTTGGTATAGACTTTCATTTTAATATCAAAAGACAAATGTTTTAATGAGTAGAGGCTATAAAGTACAACCAGGTCTTGTAAATTCTCCATTATCCTGTCTTTCAAGAGCTGGATCATTTCCTCCCGTTGCTCAACAATGCATAGAAAATCAGTGATATAATTAATGATTTACTGAGGTCCCTGGTGTTAATGCAAATTACTTTTTGCATAGGGCGAAGGAAATGGAGGACTGGGGTCCACCCATTCTTAGTTTCGTTGTCCACTTAATATTAGCTAATATTCAAGAACCATTTGTTATGCGCTGTATGTGTGCATTATCCATTCTTAGGACAATTCTACGAAGTAGGTACTATTTCTATGATATTTCAGATGATACTGTAAAGACTCGGAGACACTAAATGATTTGAGCCCAGGTAGGCTAACCGCCAGTGGCTAACTCCCAGTTGGTACTCAGCATGAAAGCAAATTGGGGCATTTTTTACCTCTTCCCGCCTGATCAAGATAGGGCAGTAGATGACAAGTTCCAGAGAGCAGAAAAACGCCTGGGAAGTTAGTTAAAAGGCTGGTTCTGGGCTCCACCCTGGGGCATCTGGAATAATAAAAAACACCGTAAGTGGTAACGGCATAGATGGGGAAACACCGCATTAAAGCAGATTAACCTGTCACCGGCGCGCAGAGGCGGAGGGCCCTGGCTGGTCGCAGCCACGGGCACGCCCCCGGAGGAACTGAGCGCGGACAGCTGCTGCCCCCCTGCGGCCGCGCCGGCGCAGTGCGACCCCGCGGCGCGGCTGCGCAGTGCCGCCCTCTGTCGGCCCCGCTCCTTCTTCCCATCGGCCTCGGCTTGCGGGCCTTTCAAACATGGAGGAGCGCGAGCGGGGGGCGAGGTCGCCCGGCGCCGGGAGCCCCGCGCGCCCGCCCAGCCCGCGGCTGGATGTCAATTCTGACAGCTTCGACCCGCTGCTGGCCCTGTATGCGCCCCGCCTGCCTCCCATCCCCTACCCCAACGCGCCCTGCTTCAACAACGTAGCCGCTTACGAGAGTTTCCTCAGGACCGGGTGCCGGGGCGGTGGGCGCGGGCGGGCGCAGGGCGTCGCCCCAGTCTCGGGGGCCCCTGGCACCGCTGGGCCCTCGGGCAGGACCCGGCGCCGCCGGGACGCCCCCGTCCCGGACCCCGAGCGCATACAGCGCCTCCGCCGCCTCATGGTGACCAAAGAAGAGGGGGACGGGGCCGCCGGGGAGAGCCGGCGAGGTCCGGGCCGGAGCAGGAAGGCGCCGCGCAATGTGCTCACGCGAATGCCCTGTGAGTGTGGCGGGCGGGGACGGGGGACCGACCGGCCCTCTGTCCGGAAGGTGGCGACTGAGGGGACATTTGCGGGGTGGTAGGGGCTTGGTGTGTTAGGGTCTGCACATATTAGGGGGAGGGTCTCGGTGATGGTTTGCAGAAATGGTCAGCGACAGTGGGGAGGTTCTCCTTGAGTAAGGTGGGAAATGGGGGCGGTCGTCTGGAGTAATGAAGGCTCTGCATGAGCAGCGAGGGCAGAGTGGAAAAGGCTGTAGAGGTAATAAGGAGCCGTGGAGAGTGTCTGCGTGGGTAGTGGGTGTAGACGGTCTGCAAAGGTGATGGGGGTCCATAGAAGTGAGTATAGGGGAGGGGTGATGCGGAACCTGCAGAGAGGATCCGCAGGAGTGGGGGGATTGGAGAGGTGGATGGGGACATCAGAGGGAGGTGATAAGAGTTCTTGGGGACCACAGACAGAGGAGGTGGAGCACAGCCAGTATTAGGCAAATGAGTGTTTGGTTAGTGGGATTTGGGGGTGATGGGATGAAGCGTGGGGAGCGCTGTTCAGATAGCACAGGGGACATAATCTCCTAACCCCTGCACATTAAGTGACAGCTCATTCTCCCGCGCTATAAGCGGGAGAAGGGCTGCAGGGTCTTGATACACGTATGTTCCCATTACCAAGTCACAAGTGCTAGAACGCAGCAGGCACAAAATGCCACTGAAACACAGACACTGTCTTACAGCCTTTCTCACAGGCTGGGTGCGGGACTGTGTCTGTCAGGCTCATGTTACCATATGCGCAGGTTATTTTAAGTTCTGAAGGTGTAAATGGCACACGGGGATTTCTTGGAGGCTTCTAATAGATCCTTAGAGTAAAGCTGTAAACAGCAGAGGTTGCTAATGTGTGAGTTAGGTCTTGTATAAATGAAATTAAAAACAGCCCAGGCTTATACATCTTTTGTCACCTGGCAAGCAGTTCTGACATCTGCCCCTGAACACAGTGACCTACTTAGCCATTCAGAGCATCTGTATCCTGATAGCTAAATTGTGACATTGTTAAATCACCACCTTTGGAATGGAGGGTTGTGCTAAGCAAGGGTATATTTTGTTTCATTCCTAGAAATGTGTTTATTAAGGGAGAAACATTTGGAAAAGCTGTGTGCTGTTAGGGGTGCCTTTGTCTGTAGGATGATTTACCATGCCGAAACATCCCCGCCCAAGCTTAAGGTTTACCCCAGCTTGCTTGCCCAGCAGTAAAACAAAGATGGAGTATCATGTTCCTAAAATAAGAGCAGTTTCGGGTACCTTATTTTGTCTATACTTTTTGCCATATCGTATCTTTGAAATGCACTCCATAGCTCAGATTGTAACATTTCTGTTTTGCCGGTTATTGCTTTGTTATTGAGATTGTCAAGGAACAGAAGTCTTTCTACGTGGTGGGTGGTTTTAGCTTTACTTGTGGAGCACTTTGCTATATTGTTATGACAGAGTGTGAAGACCAGCTTTGTTGACCCCATAATAAAATATATGCCTGGAGTCAAGGTCTCAGAGAATGTGCCCTAGGCACTGAAAATTTTAATCATGCCATTGGAAACAGTTGCCTGTAAATGATAGACATGGGTAAGACATCACAAAGAGTTGATCTTCAGAAAGCAAAAAAAAAAAAAATCAAAAGTGTGAGTGAGGATAGATTAATGCAAGGAGTTCCTGTAAGAGTAAGCTTTACGTCTTGAAGTTAAGGAAGAGCAGGTTGAGAATAACAGTCATTACTTAAAAATCAGGGTTTTGAGGTGTAATTTACATATAGCAAAATACACTGTTTTAAAGTGAGTTGTGACAGATATATAGTCTTGAAATTACCACCACATTCGACATACAGAACAATTCCATCACCCCGAAGTTTCCTGAAGCTTCTTTGTAAGTCAAGTGATAATTTTATTGTTGCTAATTATAGCTACTATTATTAAGCATATGTGCTGTAAACTTTGCTAAGCCCTTCAAATACATTATATCTAATTTTACCCTTAGATATGACTTGATAGATGAGGAAACTGAGGCTCAGTTATTACCTGTTGTTTCCCAGGGTCACATAACTAGTTAGTTTGCACTTGAGAATCCTTGGTTTGTCCAACTCCAGGGCCTGTGTGCTTAATAAATTATGCTAGTCTCAGGAAGGGGAAAAGGAAAGTACATTCTAATTTTTCCTTGCTTGTTTTGGTGTGCGGAGGGTACTACATATGTGAGGCAAAGGGTTTGTGTGCAGAGCAATGAGAATGGAATTTGGGTCCAGAGAGGGAGTTGTTGCTAGAATGCACTGAAGAGCCAAACGAAAAGTTTCTGTTTGACTTTGTGATGATAGAGTAGGAACTATGGTCTATATTCTTAAGCAAAAGCACTTTTAGGACAAGTGTTTCTAGAAGCTAAGTTTCTTGTAGTAAAATCTAGAGCACAGGGTTTGACTGTGTTTGAATACTGGCTCCTCCATGTTCTAGCTGTTTTACTTTACGTAAGTTACTTAAACTCTTTAGGGCCTCGATTTTCCCATCTGTGAAATCAGGACAATAATAGTTGTGAGGTTTAAATTAGTTAACACATTTAAAACATTTACAACAGTACTCTGCTTTAGCACATCGGGAAATTCTTGGTGAATGTTAAATGTCACTGTTAGACCATCATAATTAAAAACCCCAAGTCAGGGTGCATATAACCTGCCAGTGTTGACTGTTGACTCAGCTGTTTACTAGGTAAATAACTTTGAGAAAATTATTTAAACCTTTCTGAGCCTCAGTTTTCTCATCTATAGAAAGCGGTGAAATAGTAGTACCTATGTATTAGAGTTGTGAGGATTAAATAAAATAATATGCATAAAGTTAAACTTACCACAGGGCCTGTCCCATAGGAGGGCTCAGTAATTGGTAATAATGACAGTGACATTGATGGTGCTGTTGATGTGAGTGAAGGGAGCTAGGAGGCTTGTAAACCAATCATCTGATAAGGCGCTGGGCGGTATAGTTGGTTGTGGAAAGAGAAAAGTATCAGTTATTGAGAATCTATTGTTTGAATTTATTGACGGGTTGGACATGAACAGGGAGAAATGAATGGAGTTAAAAATGACCTGGACTTGGAAGGGTGTGTCCCAAGTGTAGTGGCAGTGGAGAAGGGGATTTGGAAGAATAACTTTCTTCAAAAAGAAGGCCTTTTTTTGTCATGTTAAATCTTTAGAAGCCTGGCTCATATCCATTTGGAGTTTGTCACAGAGGCTGCTAGAAAGAGATTCAGAACACGGAGCTCATTTTTGCCTTGGCAGTTTGCTCTGATAGGTGGTGCTAGTGTTGTATGTTTGAGAAGGAGAGAAATGCTTCCTGGAATTATACCTTATTAAATCTTTGGAAGAGAAAGATACAGTGTGGGAGTTGAAAGACCTGAGCTTGCCATTTGTTTAATTAGAATAAGAGACTGTTGTTAAGATAAGTGCTTGCCCTCTCTCTTTGACTTGGGAGTTCAGGGGGGAGCAGTGGTGCCCCTATTTTTTTTCCAAGTTAGAAAAAGAACGGCCTGTCTGCTCTTTGGGGAAACATGTATATGTTTTGGAGGGGGGCAGTGAATGGATATAGGTGAAGTAGTAATCCAGGCATTGTGCTCAGTTTCTAAGAAATGAATTATAGACTTATTCCTGAATCTAGAAGTTAACTAGTCACCTAACCTCATTTTATGAATGAGGAAACTTGGACTTAAAGAGAAAAGGTACTCACCAAGGTCACACAACTAATTAGAATGACCTAAAAGTTGTTTACAATGCTTGATTGAATACAGTCTATAACATATATCCAGATACATGTACACACACACACACACACACAAACACCTATACCTATCAAAGGTTCTAAGAAATGTAGAATATTGCTAGAGGAAGGGTAGATGATGAAGGTCAGACCAAGGCTCTCATGTTCCTTTCCAAGGCTGCTGTTGGTGCCACTCTGCTCCACCTGTCCTTGCTGAATCTTCAATCTGACATAAGTTCCTACTTCTCATCTGCTAAGTCCCTTTCTTCCAAGAGTATTTCCTTTTATTAATTTATCACTGTCATCATTTATAAGCCAACCCACGAGTGAGTAATAAGGTTAAGAGTCACCAACTTAGTTTTCCAAACTGAAGTGAACTGTTGTTCTTTCTTATGCCACTAGAAACAAAGCAGTGATTGTTTTTGTTTGTTTGTTTTGTTCATTATCAATGGCATAATCTTCAAAGAATTTGCATTGCACACTTGGAAGAGAAGGACTGAGGCTGTGCGTGCATGAGTGTGAGAGTGTGTGTGAGAGAGAGTGTGTGTATGTGTGTTGTTTTGTTTTGAGACATTATCTGTAGTGTAGCCAACATGTTGTGAAGGCTAAGTTAACATGCAGTAATATAAATGAAATTCAACCCTGCTCCCAAGCACTGACAAAAAGAATTCATCATAGTAAAAGCTGAAATTATAGTCCCCGCCTTCTACTTATGAATTGTCATACTGCTCTTTTTATGTGATGCTCATCAGCAGTCTCATAGGAGCAAGAGGCTCAGCAGGTGCCTTTTCTCCGGCAAGGCCTGAACTAGCACCAGGTATCTGACTCCACGTGTGAAGATGCTGTACATGGAAACATTAGTGGCTCCAGAGAGCGCGTGCATGGAGTAGCTCAGACTGGGGCGCCGAAAGGCCATTTTCACTTGCAGGATTACTTGTGTTTAAGGGCAGATGTGTTAAATTTGTTGCCTTCAAACATGTGAGCAAGGTTTTTAGTTTTTTGGAAGGCTCAAGCTGGATATGTGGTTCACGAGAATTACCCTGAAAAATGTTATCTTAAGAAGGCACAAAACTGAGAAGAACCCAGCTGCTGATGTGTACATTTAATATATTTCTTTTTTGCCCAAAAAGGTTTTAAATGATGGTGCATCTTAGAATCGATGCCGTCATAGACGATAGGATATACAGGTAGTGAAACATGGAGGATAGCCATTCCTATGGTTTATCCACATTCTGGCGGAATCTTGTCTCATTTCAGTGGGCTGCCTGTACTAGCCAGTTGCCCATTAGGTCTTCCTGTTCCCATGGTGAGATTGCCACTATGCCATGTTGCCTTGTGTTGCTGGAGATGGCTGGGTGGTGTTGGTTGTTCATTCTGCGAATGAGAGCAGGTATTCATGCCATACTGACTACTCTTCTCTTGTTTCAGTGCACGAAGGCAGCCCTCTGGGTGAACTCCATCGTTGTATCCGGGAGGGGGTGAAGGTGAATGTTCACATCCGCACTTTCAAGGGTCTTCGGGGAGTGTGTACAGGCTTCCTCGTTGCATTTGACAAGTTCTGGAATATGGTAATTAAGTCTTTCTCAAGGGGCTGGAGAACCTCTTAGAGATTAAAGCTTTTATATGTCTAAAGGCTATGAGTAATTTTATTCAGTGAAACCTACAGAATAACCTCTCAGATGAACTAGAATCTTTGCACTCTCTTGGAGAACAACAAAAAAGTCCTTTTTATTTCTTCCTTTTCCTTAAGGCAGTGGCTTTCAACTGGGGCAATTTTACCCTTCTCTCCCTCTCAGGGACATTTGGCAACGTCTGGGGACATTTTTTTGAATGTCACAACTGTGAGACGGTTCTGCTGGCATCTAGTGGGTAGAGGCTAGCGCTTCTACTGCATGTCTTACAATACACAAGAGCCCCCCCCAAAAAAACAAAAAATTACCCACTTCAGAATGTTACTAATGCCAGGGTTGAGAAACACAGCCTTAAGGAAAAATTACTTATTTCATTGTTTAGTAATTTTGCATTGATTTCCTATTAAAAATATTTATTGACTTCCCTGTTTGGTTGGACATATGCTAAGTACAGAAGTTGCAGAAAAGAACTTTCACTCTACTGTTTTTGGAAAGATAGATAAGGATAGAGGGGAAACATCTATGTTAGTAAGCCAGACATTTTGCATGGTGTTTTCTTTTAAAGGAGTGGACCACCCCCGCCCCCAGCCTTCTAGAGGCTTACTGATTACTATAGATACTTGTAGGAAAGAAGGGACATAGTATAACACAACTGTAATATGAGGCACTGAGAATAGGAGCCACCGGGGCTTTCTAGTGTGTGTTTTCCATATGTCACGCATCTCCACCTTTTCTTTTCCCTGTGCTTTATCTCCATCCATGCATTCCCCTGGATGATAATAATAGTTGCTCATATTTACTAAGCACTTGTTATGTGCCCGATACTATACTAAGGACTTTATATAATCTCAATGGATGAGCTGTAGGTCTATTACTGTTCCATTTCACAAATGAAGGAATTGAGGCTTGAGATTTTGGAAGATTGTTGCAGATCACACTGTTAGTACGTAAGTGGAAGTACCAGGACTTTATCCCAGGTCTTTCTGACTTATAAGACAATGTTTTCAACCATGATGGAATCAGAAAACCTAGGTTTGAATTCTAGCTTTACTACCTGATAGCTGTGTGACTCTAGGCAAGTTATTTCTCAAAAGGCTCGGTTTTCTTGCCTCTAAAATATAAGAAAAAATATTTTATTATTATGATTTTACCTTTGAAGAAAGTGGATTTAAGAGAACATGTGTGATGACGGTGGTAATAATACTGTAATAAATAATAACACTGTAATACATTTAAAGCGTATATTTGTATGGTGACTTACACTTTTCAAAGTACTTTCTCGTACACGATCTCATTTGATCCTAACAGCTGTGCAGTGAGGTTGATCCCTCAATGATGAGAATTCACCAGTGATTCGGTGTGTAACCCTGGTCAATCTCTGTTAATTGCTGTCATAAAACATGGAAACTGGAAAGGGAAAAGAAGCAGGAGTGTTTCTCAAAGGGTGATTTCCTGCATCCGAATCACCTGGGGTTCCTGGTTAAAACACAGTTCCTGGGCTTCATCCCAGATCTACTGCATCGAAATCTCGAGGAGAGTAGCCTTGGATTTATATTTTAATAAGCTTCCTAGATATTTATATACACTGAAGTTTAAGAACCTCTGTGATGCAGTTGTAAAAGCCCCTTTCACAGAGAAACTTGGTTCTACATGGTTGTACTCACAGAGTGCCAACCACTCTGCCCAACAGCTGAGTTATCTGTTTAGTTTTGCTACAATTAAATGTTATTTTGCCTTTTAAAATTTTTCATGAAAGCTATAAGAATAATATTTTTAACTCTGCCTCTTTTTTCCCTTCTTGGACTGTTTCTCTAGGCACTTACCGATGTGGATGAGACCTATCGAAAGCCTGTTCTAGGCAAAGCATATGAGCGGGATTCTTCATTGACTCTCACGAGGGTAGGCAGTTTCTCCTGACTTGCTGAGTACCCAACGTGCTTTTAGGCTTAGGAATTAGGATCACTGAGCCCAGTGACCAGGGTTTCCTTGTGGGAAAGCCCTCGTGCTGTCAGCCAGGCATGCCTGGACCAAGGTCTTCACTAGTCTGTCTTCTCATGCATCTAGCTAACCTCAAATGAGCCCGTGCTTCTGACCTGCATATTATTTGAGTAACAAATTACCTCTTATAAGGCTTAGGAGTCTTTCCATTTTATGCTGTAGAAATACCATAAGTATGTGCCTTCACTTGACATACTGTTTCATCTGAGTTATGGTTAGAAATAAAAAATTTATTACTAACTTTTTACAAATTACAAAGCAAGTAGTCCTCAGAGCATAACTAAGGAATCTGGTCTTTTTTCTGTATATTGAAAGAGTGATGCTGAACGCTAATATTTGTCATTGCCTTCCTTATAGCTCTTTGATCGGCTAAAACTTCAAGATTCCTCCAAGAAGGAAGCAGATTCTAAGTCTGCAGTTGAAGACTCCACTCTGTCCAGATACTCCCAGACATCCACTTGGAAGGTGGCTTCAGTGTGGGGAAGAGGAGACACTGACCGGGGCACCCACAAGCATTCCCGCTCCGCCCCTTCTTCCCTGCAGGCATCTACAAGGGAGGAGTCCAGGTCAGAGCTGTCAGGGAGGACTCTGCAGACAGAGGGGTCTAGTGCGGGTGGTACCTTTTCCAGAGCTACCACCCTTTCCAGGGGCCAGCCCCGTAAGAAAAAGCGAAAGCCCAAGGTGGATTACCAGCAGGTATTCACTAGACATATAAATCAGATTTTCATTCGAGGCGAGAATGTCCTGCTGGTTCATCTTGCACAGTGATGTGCTCAGCCTCACTTGAGCTTTGGTTTTTAGAAATAAAATGCATGACTCGCTGCTATGCTGTATCCTAGTATCCCAGTGAAACCCTGAGTTGGAATGATTCCCTCTGGTGCTGCATGTGCTGAGGAGAGAGCCAGGCTTGGGCTCTCTGGGAGATGAACTCCCTCAAGGGGACACAGGCCCTGGGGAGGGTGGGTGTTCACATTAATATCAAGGCAAAAGCTGCACATGGGTACACACGTCTGATTTGGTATCATGGTCTACATCAGACACTCAAACCAAATATAAGGTCTTCCATTGGAATCAGGGATCATGGTATGAATTGAATTCACTCCATAGACTCAATAGCGTGTGTGGGAAAACCCACCTGAAAAAGAACGATCTCATTTCTGAAAGCTAGTGCCCTCAGTACTCATGAATTTGATTCAAAGAGCAGCAGCATAAATTGCCCTGGAGCCCTGCACCCACCTCTTGTAACTGACCATTGAATTTTGCTCTATACCATTATCTCTTGTTCAAGAAATGTAGTCTGTTAACTTCGGATAGCTATAAGATCTAAGAAAGCTACCAACTTATGCAAGGGTGCAATTTGAATAGTTGGTGTGCTCAAAGCAGCCAGCAATAAATGCCCTGTTTTCATCCCTCATTATGTAAAGGAGTATGGGACCTCAGTGGTCTTCCCCTTACCAGGGGTAGCTTCTGTGAATGGCATACCAGATTGGGCTATAAGGTGCTCGTGTGGTGGCTTCTTGTCCTTCTCTAACTTTGTGGCATGGTGCTAGTGCATGTACCTTGTGTATTGCCCCTCTGTGATCTGTCCTTGAGCTTTATGGCTGGAGACTGACCTTCATGTCTGGCTTCAGTGAGTTCTGCATGAACTCCATAACACACATGCATCACACAGCTGAGAGCCCTCTTTCCCGGCAGGGCTGGCCTTGTGTAGAATATCTTTCAGAATGGTTTTATTCTCTTGTGTCAGGCCAAAGAGGTTCCCATAAACTACAGTGGATGGTGGCTGTAAGGGACACACCTCACAGGCTGGCTTCAGTAACACGAACACCATAGCACTCTCTAATACTACTTGGAATCATAGTATATGCTTTTTCAGTCTCCAGTGCAGAATTGGCTGTATTTTGACACAGACTGTTAGTCAATATTGATTTTTTTTGTTTTGTTAGTTTATATTTGGTTTTATTTTAGATAACTCTTGTTCAAAGTGAATAAGAAACACCTAACTAGTTAAAATGCTTGAAAAGAAAAATTCCCCCTGCTGTATTTGTTGTGTAACTTAGATAAGCCTTCTGAGAGCAGGGTGAATAAAGTTTATGGAGCTAGGATGCCTGGTCCTTCTATTGGCTGGGTCACTGGCTCATCATATAATGAAAGGAGAGCAGACTTAACCCCTGTGTGCCTCAGTTTTTCCCCATCAGACACCTACCTCACAGGAGCACTGAGACAAAGAATTTTAGGAAGGCATTTTAAAGTTTCTCAACGTATTTAAGTGCCATGAGTAATTTTTACTAACTGCTTCATAGTTTGGTAAAAACTCTGTCTTAGGAGCAAGGCAGGTGCTATGTAAGAAAGTAATCTCCATGGGTGTCATGATTATGATCTTATTGTATGAGAAGGCAGTGATATCTTCAGGAACTATTTTCCATATTCCGTTCCTTTCTCCTAAGGGGCAATGGAAGTTTCAGAAGATCTTCAGTGAGAGTAACATTTCTTTGCAGCCCCCCTATATCCCAGCCCCCACTCTTCAGATCATTATCAGAAAGAATTCCCCTGAACTTTTCAGGGGTTTATATTGATAGTACCAAAGGGAGAAGGAGCATCTAAAAATGACACAGCCCCAAAGGGGAATTTGCGGAAATTGTTTTGTGTTTATTTTAAAATGCATTTTAAATATACTTTTTAGAGCCAGAGCAGATGCACTAAACAATTAGAGAGGTTCCGGGTCACAAACTTGAAATCTGCCAATCTAATCTCTTCTAAATAGTGTGTCTAAAATCTCAGTTCCCCAATTGTTAGTTATCTTGTTTAATCATTAGGCACCCCTGCCTCTACCTCTTTACCAGTCTCCCGTTTGGCTGTCCCCATCTGTTGGCCCTCTTGTTAGAAGCTGAAATGGATACTAGATTTTTCCTGCTAAAGTAGAAATTTGGAATAAAAAGGAATAAATGAATTTTCATTTATTCTAGTGTCTGACTAAATCTAACCTGGTTTATTTTAAACACATGCTGGTTTTCATGTTTGTGTATAATTTTCATATATCCACATAAAGATTGATTCACTACTTTTCTGCCCAACTTAACAATTCTGGCTCTGAAAATTATTTTAAAATTGTATGTGATCTGTCTTATGCGCCCGTTTATTTGTTTGGTTTGGACAGTGATTCTGGAATGAATGAACCTATCTAGTAAATGTGCTAATTTGTACAAAGCATGATAATTTTTTAGAGAACTCAATTTTTAAAAATCATTGCTCTTTTTATTATTGGAAAAACTTTTCATAAGGAAGAACAAATAGTTTCTAACAGTGTATATGCTGCTCAAAAAATGTGATGATTTAGGACATTATAGTTGCTATGGAAATAACTGAAGTCTTCCTCAGGAGAAAGAGAGAAAAGGGGAAAGTAACAGCTAGAATGGTAGCATTCTGGAGGCCCCTTAATAGCTCACCTGAGGGAGGCCCTAAGCAGCTGAAATGCAGCAAAACTGGTTTCTAGTATTCTCCAAGGATTTGGGTTTGGGAAACTTGGTAGGAATAGTACTTATTTTTTTGAACATCCAACTTTGGTTCTTCAAAGTAATCTCTAAATATATCTGGGCATGTTTACCAGATAATTCATGGGGCATACACGTGTACTTGTTGAAGTCTTCTCAGGAGTTTCCAGCTGTGTTAGATAAGAACAAGGCATGGAGAAATGGAAGGTATGGTTTCACACACAAAGCGATTGCTAGGAGAACTTGCACTTTAGGTTGTTCTTTCTAATATTGGGGAAGCATTTGTGCTTCCTTTCAGAGACCATCTTATTATGATGGAGGTGGGCTGTTGGTGAGATGATTAGCCAGAGTTAGCAGTGTCTGTTCAGTACCCTGCTCTCTGTGCATGGTGCCTGTCAAGTCGGAAAGCCTAGAAACTGTCAGCATTAACATCTAGGCACATAGGAATCCTTGTTATGAGTTGGTAAATGGATCAAGAGGGGCTCTATCTATTTTTTTTTTTAAGATTTTTATTGGGGTATTGGGGGAAGGGGAACAGACAAGTTGCTATCCTTTTTGTTCTTCAGTCTAGTTGTGGAGATGCTTCACTGGCCCAAGTTGGCACCATCATTGCGCTCTTCCCAGGCAAGTCATGTCAGTCGCCGGCTTCTGGACGGCTGCTCACTGCGGCTGCTGGCCTCTCACGCTGGCTGCTGGCTACACACAATAGCCCATGGCAACCCACTGCCACAGGGGCTGCAGCCTACGCCGTCGCCGGCGACTCACGGGCAGCCCAGCTCCAGGTTGAGCCGTCATTCAGCATCTTAGCTGTAGAGGGCAGTGTCACTGGCCCTCATATGTGGGATCCGAACCGGGCCCTCTCGCTTCTCAAGCCAGCTCTTAACCATCACACCACTCGGCCGGCCAGGGCTATATCTATTTTCATGGTGAAATAGTCCAGGAGAACCTTTAGAGATTGTCAGGTCATGAGCTGTGAGCTGCCCTTAATCCTCAGAAGACTTACAGAAAGGTAGGTGTACCGCTTCTGTCCCCTGAGAAAAAATAGATACCGAACTTGATGCAGAGTAGATATTTGTATTTTCTGTTTGCACTATTCCTGTAACAGCTGACATGGGTAAAATGAAATAGAATAGATTCTATAAATTACTTCTTTAAGTTTTGTCTAAATTTTGCCTTTAGGAAAAACATTAAAATTATTCAAAGACAGCTAGCTGTCACTGGTGCTGCCCAAAGCTTTCCAATCCTTTATGTATTTTTTTTTATGAATGAAATGCTTGCTGTGAGAAGGTCAAGGTTATGTAAGAATCTCATGGTATAAATATAATGATTTTGCAACTGCTGTAATTTTTCTTTTTCTGTGCCAGATATAGAATGCAGTTGACCCCTTTTCAGTAACTTCTGTTCATCAGCCTGTGTTTTTCTGGGCAATACCTCTCAGAAGGCTTTTCTTAATGATTCTAAAGTAAAAATATCTTATCTGGGCCTGTGTTGCAAAGGTGGGTGGTCTGTCATTATCTTCTGGCAAATTGAGTTGATGGATTTAAGATAAGCCTGTGGGGTTCCTGTCACAGTTTTCTTGGCTCTTGAAGAAGGGTTGGGTATTTTTCAAATGTTTGTAAGTTCTCTTGCACTCCTCTAATAAAAATGAAAGCTCTCTGTCAAGAAATCGCTTTGGATGGTTCAGAGATCTAGGGGGAAAAATAAGTACACCAGAGACCTTCACATGGTCTTTTATTTATTTATAATAAAAAGTAGTTTGATAAGCTACCAGAGTTAGTGCTTCTTTAAAAACACTCTCTGAAAACATGGGAACTATCTCTCAGGAAAGCTATAAAAGCTATTCCCAATACATTGCAATTGCTTTTGATTTTTAGTCCTTTGGAGCAAATGTCTGATGTTATGTCTGATGTTATGTTTTTAGAGCTGTGGGGGAAAAATGTCTAAAAAATTTTAAGGGATATTATTTAAACAATGATTATCTAGCCGAATTATGTGAGCTAGGTTCTAGGGCAGCTGCCCAGTTTTTTTTCTGTTGTCCAGACAGTAAAGCAGATAGTAAGCAATGTCTTGAAAAGTGATTTACTTATTTCATACTGACATCTAAAGACATTCATAAGCCTTCTGGGCTGCCATGGGGATATCCCTCTGCACCGTGACTTATTAATGTTTTTTTAGACAAGGCTAAACCTGAATGATTTTGTGAATTTATAGTTTCTCTAGTCATACACCTGCTGCTAAAAGAAAAACTATGACTTGTAATCTTGTCTTAAAATTACTCCTATTGTTAAGTTGACCTAACCCCTTCCTGTTTACGGAGGATTGCTGCTAGTAACTTAAGTTTGCAATGTTCTGCTTTAGATATGTGTCATATGGGAGTCTGGAAACTAATAAATATGATTGTATTAATGCACTGGCTGCTTTGTCTCCGCTGATTTTGAGGGTGGAGTAGAGAAGGCAGGAGAGTCTATTACCAAATGAAGACACTGATCTAGAAAGTTAAAACATCTCAAGCTGCCTCAGTCTCATTGTTGTAACCTTGTGTCTTTTCTTTACCAAAGCACACACACCTAGATCATTATCCTTGAAGGAGTGTTGTTCTTCCAGGTCTATTTGAAGCTCATGCTTAGAAAAGAAACTTGGCCCACATTGTGAATTATCTGTTCTAAGCCTCAAGCAATGGGAATTGCCCTGTGAATTCATTCTACCTAATAACTCACTGGCGTTAATCCACTGTCTTCACAATCCGCTGAGATCACTATTGACTGCTCCTCTCAGTGTTTTACCACATCTGACTAATGGATCCTCACTGCTTCCAGAAATATTTGAATTTACCACCAGCTTTCCTCTGTGCATGTACAGGAGTTGAACTGCCCAAAGATTTGCCACATTTCCTCTGTGTGCTTCTAGAACTGAGACACCTTGGTAGGGTGGACACACAAAAATCACATTGATTCTTAGAGACAGAAACCTCAAGTTAACTGTCAAGACCCAATTCCCCACTTTCAAAGAATATGTTAATAAGTTGGGCTCACCTGACATACAGAAAATTTCAAAGAAGAAGTGGAAGAAAGGGAAGCGAGACCCAAATGCTCCAGTTCTGGCCCTTGCTCACTTGTTTTGTATCTCAGAGATTTCTGCTTAAATGAGAATGTCCTCATTAATCAAAATAAAGTCAGAAGAATCAGCTCGCTTTACAGTGACAGTTAAATATTGGCAGGAAAACATAGGCTAGTGGAATGATATAGATATATATCTCTCACTCTTTCCCTATGCTTTCTGGATAGGCGTGGCAAGGAAGGGGGATAAAAGTGAAGCTTTTTTCAGTCTGCTCAGTTACCACTAGGTGGCAGTGGGCTAAAAAGAACTGCTGAACTAGAGGTCCCAGAAGGACCTACGTCTCTGGATCTCCAATCACTGCTACAATTAATTGTTAAATGCTCGCCAGTCTGGACTGAGATAATCAAGGAAAAACAAGCTATAATCAACTCAAGTGGCAATATAAGCGTTTCTTACCAATATTGAATTTACCTAATTTGAAGCTTAGGAAGCCTGACTGATGGCAGTCAGCCAGCGAATGTGCTCGGAGAAGAGTGGTTAAGAGAGAAATTGCTCAGTGTCCACTAAAGTTTTAGGCTGTCTGTCATTATTCTGACATCATGGAGGTCCTCATTTCTTCTTGGAATACTGTCAGCCGGCACCTTCCCGCCTGCTGGCCAGGGATCACCTAGGAAAACTGTCTTGATGCCTGTTTCTCATCAGCTGTCTCAGTTTTGGAAACAGTTCACTTCCATCCAGTGTTCACGCCTGAGAACCCATTGGTGAGAAAGGTTGCAGCTCTCATGATTCCACAATCGGAACTGAGCCTCCACTCCAAGACTGCAAGCAAATGTGCTCTTGAGTCGGAGGGAAATTTATAACAGACGCAGAAAAGTCTGTAGTTTTAGGCTGGGCACCAGGACAGAATGGGCAGGTGGGTTGTGCTAGTGAGCCTCCTAGCGCTTCATGTCAAGGCCTTCAAAAGACATTGCCTTCTCTACCTCAAGAAATAATTTCCCAGCAGCCTATGGTAAAGAGAAATACAGTATGTGAAGTAATGAATAGATAGTGGTTTTCAAATGAATAACTACAAATAAGGTTCCAGCAAAGTGCTTTATCTCATGCCTTTTTGGACCTTGGCAGCTTGTACCACATTTCACGCAGTCACTATGTGAAGGGGAAGAGGACAGAACATACAATAAGAAATACCATCATTTTTGAGCATTTCAGCCCCGTGCCAGGCATATTGCATGCATTACCTTGTTCAGATACAACCACCATGAGAGGAAGATTTTGTCCCTATTATGTATGGGAGAGAACTGAAACAGGTTAAGTAACTTGGAAACATCTCTATGCTAATAAATGGTGAATTTGTGATTCTATCAAGAACTGACTCTTAAGTTTATTGTTGTTCAATTACACCTTAAAA